AAGACCTCATGGTAGAAATTTTTCTTGAACAAACGGGACAAGAATATTCTCTGTGCTTACACGTGTGGTTGTCGTAAGACACTCTCGTGAGAAAGTACTGCCCACAGTTGGAACAGTGGAGACGCTGATGTCTACCTTGAACAGTGGAAACATTCTTCTCTGATGACTTCCCTGTAGCTATCAATGCACCTGGAATTATGGGTAAATCCTTATTCAGCGACTTCAAACCGTGTAGTAAAGCAGATACGAGCAATGACAAATACTCAATTTACACCGCTGCCGAGTGAACGCGACTGTGGTGGTTGAAAAAAAAATACTAAAACAACATGACTGTTTACTTTCAAAAACAACACTAAACCACCCATCATTTGTGTCCCATTAACCATATGTCCTTCACAGTACACAAGTGTGTTCTCCTGTGCTGGTAAAGTCCTGTTATATATGTGTATGACTTAAAGCAAATACTGCAAGTGTATAGTTTTCTATTCCCCCTGTGTAGATCCATGTGACGCCTCAGTGTCTGATTATTGAAAAAATATTTGAGACAAACAGGACACTGGGGCTTCTGATAAGGTCGATGATGCTGACCGACAGCCCGTTGACTTGGACCTGGAAATTGGAACGGTGATTGTTTTATAAAGCCCATCATACTTTGAACAACGGCAATAGTCAGACCGAATACCAACAAAAAACCTAAATTCATCCTCAAGGTATTCACTCCATTTCCAGTACATTCCATAGATTTCTGTCTATACCCAACTCCAAAGCAAGAGAGGGAACAAAATTCTAATCAAAACAATGCCAAAAGAAAAAAAAAAGTGTGCAAATGTCAACTTTTATTTGTGAAGTAAAATGAACATTTTCTGACTTCATCACTGTGCAAAACGAAGCTTGTTCTTGCTTAGCGAGACCCTTGGTCTTATACACGTCTTCTGGGTATGAAGGCTGCTATATCTGGTAAAGAAAATATTAACTTAATCTTTAAAATAAAGGTTGGAGAAGTGGAGGTGTAAGGATACACACCTGTAACTTTCATTACGTGCAACTTTTTCATTATCCTTACAGTCGTTTGTAACAAGTTATATAAATTAAAGTATTTTAACACTAACTAATCAAAAACACACATTTCCATACGGATGCTGTAATGTACAAATATTTATGTATTAATGTTGACTCGTCTTGTCTCAGTTCTTTATTTAAAAATGGTCAAATGAACAGTGACGGATTGTTTCTTGAGCTACAATACGAGTTGTACATACAACAGTAAACAGCCATTAATGATTAAGAAAGTTCTAATCTAGAGGTAACGAAAATATAACTAAATCAATAAACCCAGACTGTAACATCTGGATTACTGACATCGTTCATAGCCTTTGGTTAGTAGTTATAAAGTAACAGAAACTACCATACTAAACTCACCTTTTACAGGATTAAATCCACTGAAGTTCAACTCATGTGACTTTACAAGTTGTTCCCATCAAAAGCCACTGTTTCAGATCCTTCTTATACCTTGTTCAAAGTAGGCCTAATCTGATGTTACATTAAGCCTACTGAGTAGAGTAAAATAGGTAGTTCTCTCAAACTGTTTCTTTTGTATGGATTTAAAAACAAGAACAAAACCTATCTTTGTAAATACCTTGTGAAATAACACATTCTCCTTACTGTTCTCACAAATACCAAAATGTTCCAGGAGAAGCAATAGATCCCTTTTACATAATATTTGATCAATTACCTTAAACATGAAAGGCATTCGCTTCATGCCATTCTTTGTAAAATCGAAACAAACATGAAATGTACACTTAGTGTTACTGTAAAAACATGAAATGTACACCTAGTGTTACTGTAAAAACATGAAATGTACATCTAGTGTTACTTAAAGGTACTATAAAAATATAAAATATACATCCAGTGTTACTTAAAGGTACTGTAAAAACATGAAATGTACATTAGTGTTACTTACTGGTACTGTAAAAACATGAAATGTACATCCAGTGTTACTTACTGGTACTGTAAAAACATGAAATGTACATCTAGTGTTACTTACTGGTACTGTAAAAACATGAAATGTACATCTAGTGTTACTTACTGGTACTGTAAAAACATGAAATGTACATCTAGTGTTACTTACTGGTACTGTAAAAACATGAAATGTACATCTAGTGTTACTTACTGGTACTGTAAAAACATGAAATGTACATCTAGTGTTACTTACTGGTACTGTAAAAACATGAAATGTACATCTAGTGTTACTTACTGGTACTGTAAAAACATGAAATGTACATCTAATGTTACTTAATGGTACTGTAAAAACCTGAAATGTACATCTAGTGTTACTTACTGGTACTGTAAAAACATGAAATGTACATCTAGTGTTACTTAATGGTACTGTAAAAACATGAAATGTACATCTAGTGTTACTTACTGGTACTGTAAAAACATGAAATGTACATCTAATGTTACTTAAAGGTACTGTAAAAACATGAAATGTACATTAGTGTTACTTACTGGTACTGTAAAAACATGAAATGTACATCCAGTGTTACTTACTGGTACTGTAAAAACATGAAATGTACACCTAGTGTTACTGTAAAAACATGAAATGTACATCTAGTGTTACTTAAAGGTACTATAAAAATATAAAATATACATCCAGTGTTACTTAAAGGTACTGTAAAAACATGAAATGTACATTAGTGTTACTTACTGGTACTGTAAAAACATGAAATATACATCCAGTGTTACTTAAAGGTACTGTAAAAACATGAAATGTACATCCAGTGTTACTTACTGGTACTGTAAAAACCTGAAATGTACATCTAGTGTTACTTACTGGTACTGTAAAAACATAAAACGACCTACCTGCTGTATTACATACCTTTGAATTACCCTAGCCAGTGGCTAAACAAGTTGTATCTACATCAAGTCATAAATCTTTAATATATGTCCATATTATAACAAAATCATTCCCATTTCTACTGCTACTAGTTGCTTATCTATTCCATACTCTTAGCCCTTGGCTAAAACTAATAACAAAAGAAATCCATAGAGAAAAAAAAATGAGAACTGTTACCTGATAAATATTTATAGTCAGAGCTGGAAGGTTCCAATTATAAACTCCAAATGGGATGATTTACCAGAATAAGATGAAGCACAAAACAACTTCTACTAATGCAGAAGGTGTTACTGAACTGGTATCCAAAACGTGTGTGTTGAATATGACTTAGTCTCATAACCTGTGAACATAATTGAATACTGTGTGGTTTGCTCTGCTACCGAGGTCATGTCCTTTACCTTTTTACCATCTTAGTCAGTGACTAAAATAGTCTCTAAACCTTATGAACATTTTTGTTGCTAACCTACCTCTTCTTGCTTCCACACACACTCGTCTGAATATAATATACTCACTTCTAGCATTTTTCTTCGTAATAAATGCTGCATCTCGAGTTGGCACAATCAACACACACACACAAACAAAGCAAGAATTTATTTTATTAACATTTCATATACAGTACAGAACTGTTAGTTATTAATAGCAACATATATAAAATGTTATCAAAAAAGTACCACAGAGTGTATAGCATCTTCATACCCAAAACTATGAAATGAAACACCATACTTAATAGCACTATTCAAATATAATAAGCCACATAACATAGGAAATGATACATTTAAAATTTTGAGAAACAAACCACTGTATTATAACTCTTCACAATACAGAAGGAATTCAAATAAAACTACCTACCTGATAACATAATCAGGTGAGGACACCATATATTTCAGGTTAAACTATTTTCACATAATACATATTCAAATAAGAAAGAACTTATTTCTTACTTGTTGGTACATGATTTTCAATACTATAAGAAATCACGGAATCCTCACTACCCATCACCACAAGAACTACATTGAGTTAAGGGCTACTATATTCCATTTATTCTACAATATGTACTTATCCTACAACACTTTACCAACTTGGAAACCTTTACTGCAGCATTAGTTTTTGAATTACACAAGTCTCTCAAACCTTGTTTAACTATTGTAAATGTTTTTCCTCTTTCTGCTAATCCTGATTTTAAACATTTAATATATACTGACATTTGTTACTGCACTTAATATATAAAACATCTATAAGTTGCTGAACATGTCAATAGGCTACAGATGGTACTACTACTATCGAATGATAAGGTTTCGTATGAATCCATTGTATTCAAATAAAAGGGGGGATGGCTACAGATGGCACTACTACTGGACAAAAAGAAACCTTGCATACACAATCTTGGCTTAAAAATTCCCCCAAATTCATCAAAAACTATAACACTATGCATTTGAAAAATACATTATTTTGATTAAAACTGAATAACAACTGGTTTTCATTATGTAATGAAAACCGTATTACAAACAGCTGAGAAAAATATTATTGAGAGATCAGCCTCGCTAAGTATTTTTTTGGGAGTAAAATTCCAAAGACTTTCATACAGAAAATGCCTTGGTACTCTTGAAAACTAAACAAACAAAGACATAAGCTATCCATGAAAACAGATCTGACATAACTACTATAGCCTTGGATCCAACTAAACACTAAGGATCTGTGAAGAGTGACCATAGTCCTGCATTTAATCAAGATCTTTAGACTGGTTCCCCCTCCCTTAGGTCAATTAGTGGAATTTATAATAAGTACCAAATAACTCTTGGGCAGGAAGGCAACAGATCAGTAACTTACAGATAAGATATTAATCTAAAAATCTCCAAGTTAGTAAAGATACAAATTACAAAAACTTCTTTACTGAAACTGGATGAAAAATTCCAACTTTAAACAGCTGCTAGTAACTTCCAAGTTAAGACTAATAAATATCACAACTTATCCTGATCATCGTTACCAATAAAGTTGGTTTTTAGCTTGTACTAGAATTCATTTCAATAACACTACTAGATGGCAAATATAAAATAAGATGAAATTTTTCATCCACTTTCTCATTAAAATTAAACTCGTCTTAACCTACCTTGTTGAGGTGAAGGCTGGAAGCTACTTGGTCCTGGTACTGCTGGTACCCCTGATGTGTCTAAGTAAGGTAAAACGGCATTTGTACTACTGCTATCTTGTGAATGGCTAGAAACACCGATCGGTGGCTCCTCAAAAGACACTAGTGGTTTAATATCTGAAAACGATACAACGTTCATCAGTACCCAAACACCATGGGAAACAAGACAGCTATCTTGAGGTAGTAGCAACAGAACCAATTAATTCATTTCAAACAACAGGAATGTACTCTTCAGGGTCAACACTGTATCCACATTCTCTACAAACTTAAGATCTTCCAGACCTACACACACAACATACTGATATTTCAACCTTTGCTCACAATTCTACCTAACAAGCAACTTCAGCTCCTACCAATCTCAAGCACTTTTCAAGGACTTTCTAAGCACTCTCAGAATGTTTTTCAAGCACTTTTTAGAAGCTAAAATTTACATCAAAATATATGAATGTAGACTAAAAATAGACTATTTATTGTGCTCAATTCTGCAACATACATTAAAATTAGGTATATGATGTATTCTGCTACTATAATATTTGCAAGTACTTGTGCAAATATCTCAAGCCCTTGAGATTCCATTCTCAATTTCAAGGACTTTCAAGGGTATGTACGCAACCTTTCTCAGAATTCTACCTAATTAATGACTTCAGCTTGTAACTTTGTTATAAAGAGTAATAAAAACTTCAGAATATATATACATATATACGTCAGACTACAACAACAACAAATAGATCTTCAACCAAAATTGTAACTTGATGACAGAAAACTAATGCAGTAAAACAGCAGGGTTTGTGTGCAGATTCCAAAATACAGTTGAAGTTCCCATTTCCCATGCCTATTTTTTACCTGACTTTCAAATACCTTAAGTTGTGCAGGTTCAAGCCACCCTGTCCTAGTATTAGTACTGACTGAATGGTGGTGATACACTATCAATGATGTACAAAATATTTTACTAAACATCTGTTAAAACACTCTACAATTCAAACACATGAAACTCAAAAAAGCTGATACTTTATAAAATAACAATGATTTCAGACGGGACACATTGGTCCATCTTGGCTGTTCCATCTTCTAAACTCAATTAAAATAATAATAAACTAAAAATCTTAAAGCTAGCCCTTATCATTCATATACTTATCAAGCTTTTCATTAAACTCAGTTAAATTTACTGTCTCTACGACATCTGAAGGAAATCCATTCCAAAGGCCAACCACCCTGTTAGAAAAATAAAATGGTCTTAGCTGAAGATGACTCCTACCTTGCCAAAATTTATATTTGTGTCCACTAGTCCTATTATTCTCACTGTTAATTATGAAAAAAGATGATGCATCAACACTTATCATCTCAATCAGATCCCCCCCCCTACTCTTCTTTTTTTCAAAATAAAACAATTTGGGAGGTTTCAACCTCCCCTCATATGACAACCCCTCCATCCCAGGCACCATTCTAGTAATCCTTATCTGAACCCTTTCCAACAATTCAATGTCTTTCCTAAGGTAAGGAGCCCAAGAATGAACACAATATTCCAATTGTGGCCTGACAAGTGACTGATACAATGAAATTATAACCTCTTTATACTTGTATTCAGTATTTATGTAGAAACAACCTAAAATCCTATTTGCCCTACTACTAGGAACAGCACACTGTTTGGATGGTTTTAGAGACTGATCAACTATTACACCAAGATCCCTTTCCTTCATAACACTGTTAAGGTTACTCCATCCAAATTATGATAACCCACACGCATTATCTTGCTATTTGTTATAAATTAAAACCCATCTGCCTATTTATTTGCCCAACTCAACTAAATGAT